TTATAGATAGTAATAGCTCGCGCCCTATCGGCGTTAGCTCCGTTTTCTTTAAAACTAAGGATCTTGTAAATAATATCCACAAATAGACTATTAATAAGGTATAGTACTATCCGAATGCCCTAGTAAATCTGCTATTATTAGAATACCTTCGTAGTTAAGGATTTGGTTATAGTGATAAACAGTAAACACTTTTCTATAGAAGAACCGATTAGTGACTTACTGTTATCGACTGGAAGAAGGACGTTACCGTGGTTTAAATAGCCGAAGAAAGAAACTACGATACGGAAGCAACCCTCGCCTATGTCTAAAAAATATAAAAACACCTTAAAGCTGACTTTATAACGTGGCATAAGAGGCTTAGCAATATCGGTAAGTATAAATTCGTTAAGGCCTATAAAGCTATAAGCATCTAATTCGATAATGCCTAAATGGAAGGGTTCTATTACGAGGCTTATTATCTCGCTAAATCTAAGGAATAACTATTAAGAATTCAGCCTAAGGTACTCTTAATACCCGGAGACTTTAATATAGATCTTATTAAAGTTAAGCCTATTGCCTACTGAGGATATAAGTACGTTACTTACTGGATTAAATAGCACTCGGGTTACCACTATCTTAGGTTGTTAAGAGATAAATTGGGTAAGACGGTGGCCGACGAAACCAAGGCTTTTAAGGCTATATAGGAACGTTAAACTAGGCTTTAAATTAGAGGATTCCTTAGCGATATCGGGGGAGAATTCGATAATAAGGAGCTATGTATTAAACTAAAGAAAGATAGTATCGTACTTCTCTTTATAGTAGCCTATACCCTAGCTTAAAACGGTAGGGGAGAGAGGGCTAGCGGAGTTCTTATACAAATGACCCGCACCCTCGTTATTGATAGTAAATTACTAGAACAGATTTAGATATATACCCTTAAGACCTCGGCGGAGATATTAAATCTCCTGCCCTTAGATAGGGGAGTCCTTCTAGGGCTAAGCCCTTATAAAAAGTTTACTAGAGTCCTTAACTGTTTAAAAGATTAATAAAAGCCCTATATCTAATATCTGCGGACCTATAGCTGTATAGTCTATATCTATAAAATAGGCTATCTTAAGTCTCCTAAGGCTAATAAGGTAACGGTAAGAGCGTGGAAGGGTAAGCTCGTAGGATACGACTCTATTTATAGATATATCTATATTATTTAGGTGCCGGAACTAGATCGAGTGCTAAGGGTTCGAGACGTTAAGTTTGCGGAGAATAGTTAAGAAAGTCTATCTTAAGGGTCTGAACCAGAATACGAACCTATACTGGTTAACGCAGATACTTATTCAGTAAGGTGATTATTGATATCGTTAAGGCTCTTTAATAGCCCTAGTAAGCAATATAATATAGTCTCTCTGCGGAGGAGCCTCTTAACAGAGCAACCCTAGAACCTATAGTTAACGAAGTTATATAGCTAATATCCCCGGATTCTCTTAATCAGAGAGAAGAGTTAGTTACCTATTTTATAGTAGAAGAAGTCTCCTAGATAATCGAGAGCTATATATAAACGCCTGAAACCTATAAAGAGGCTATCCGTCGCGAAGACTTTAATATAACCTATAAGCCAGCTATAGAATAATAGCTTAAGGCTCTAAACGAATGCTAAGTATAGGAGCTTATCGATAGACCACAGGGCGTTAAAGTCCTTCTAGATAAGTGGGTATTTAAGGAAAAATACGACGAATAGGGTAACCTTATTAGGCATAGGGCTCGCTAGGTAGTTTACAGAAATTAATAAGATAGCGACTAGGCGGCATAGGATCTATACACAGTAGTCGTTTAGATGGCCCTACTTAGAACCTTCCTTGTAGTGGTTATAATAGAAGACCTTGAGTGCGAGAGCTTTGACTTTAACACGGCCTTTCTGGCGGTAGAGGCACTACCCGACGTATAGGTATTCGTTTGTTAACTAATAGGTTTACCTAGATCCCCGGGAAAGGTCTGTCTCTTAAGGAAGGCCCTGTACGGCCTTAAGAAAGCCCTATTATAGTGGTTTTGTTATATCGCCAGGTATATAGAAAGCCTCGGCTTCGAACCTCTTAATAGCGATAGATATATTCTAATTAATAAAATCACTGAGGTTATTATCCTTATCTACGTTAACGACGTCTACGTAGTAGCCCTAATTAAGAAAGCTATTATAAGTGTCCGCGAGGCTCTATCAGAAGTATACGCTCTTAAGGACCTAGGAGAGGTAAAGCAGTTCTTAGGCTTTAAAATCATAAGGGACAGGGCAGTAAAGATAGTCACAATTGATTAATAGTAATATACTAAGAAGATCCTTGGCAGATTTGGTATACCTGACTATATTCCTATGGTAACGCCTCTTCTGGATAGCTTTAAAGCTAACGTTATAGTAGATACTTCCTGCGACGACGCCACTAAGACGAAGTATCTATAATAGACTAGCAGCCTTAACTATCGTACCTATAGAACACGCTCCGATATCACCTTCGTAGTTTCCAAGCTATACAAAGTAAGTTCAGGGCTGATAAAAGTATATTAAGCGGCGTTAAAGCACCTATAGCGGTATATTAAAGGCATAGTAGGATATAGTATTATCTACGGAGGTAGGAGAATTAAAGGCGTACTATCACGAGGATTATACATGGCGGTAGATACCGCCTACGCAGATATAATTAGTAGAACTTTAATAGGCGGCTATATAGTATTTCTTGCGGGAGGACTAGTTATATAGAAATCCAAGAAGTAGCCGTTCGTTGCTCTAAGTACTATAGAGGCCGAGTTTATTAATCTTATGCCTATAGCCCTTAATCTTTAATAGATAGTAAACCTCGTCGCGGTAATAACCTCTCCGATTAAGAGACCTTTACTATTAATAACTTTTGATATTAATATTATTACTAATAATATCCTTAATATCTTTCGAGTATATCCTTCGTACTCGAATAAAGGATATCTTCCCCGTAAGCCTAGACCGTTCTCTTTCGAGTCAGTTTATCTATTACGAGTCAGATAAAGGATACAATAGATTACGATACTATTATGATATCCATCCCTTTATAAAGAACAAAGGATATCAACCCGTTCCCTCGGTTCGGTTCTTCCTTTCTTTATTCTTTATTCTTCATCCTTAATCCTTTATCTTAATCTCTTTTTCAATCCAAAGAAGACACAATACGCGCGCGGAGATCCTACCTTATAATCCTATTTTTACCTTCTTATTTTTTCCACTGCTTTTCGTGACTTTCGTCCCTTCCGTTTATCCGATATCGTTAGATATCTTTAATAATAACTAATTGTATAGAAGCTCTAAGCTAGGTTCTAAATGCCCTTAATTCTATAAGGACACGCTATATCGATACTAGGAATAAATAAATTATCTATTAGACCGAGAGAGGTTAGTTTAACCTCTAACACGTTAGTACTAAGGAGATAGCCGTAGATAGCCTTACGAAAGCCCTTTAACGATAGAAGCATCGCGACTTTATTAGATAACTGGGTATAGTAGACACTTATCGGTATAACGAACCCCCGTAAGGGCGGTTAGAGGAGACTGCTCCGATACCTCCTTCTATAGATAATACTTGCTATAACATCGTCGATAAAAAAGGCCTTATACGCTTATAAACTATATAATTTCTATAGCATAGTTTGGCTTTACTAGCCCTCGCCGATAGAAGAGGCCTTATATGCCTATAAAATGCTATTATAACGGTTAAGAACTGGCTTAGCCAGGAGACTAAATATAGCGGAGGAACGGATTAGCCCTGACTAGTCGATCCCTAATAAGGAGCCAAAAGACCGATAGATTACCATAAAACACTAAGGCGTGGCCGTAAGCACTAGTATAATACCGTTAGTAACAACCAGGCACGGTTTATAGAGGCGATAGAGTATTAAGAGGAGCCGTTAACTTAACGAAGAGACGATCTCTAAAGACGCAGAGACGTCGGATATATAGGTAACTAATTAATTAGTATCTATGACCTAATAATTACCATAAGAACGACTATCACGATAAAGACCACGGCAATAGCCTTAATAGCAAGGCCTTTAGAGATAGAGGTAGATCCGACTCTCCCCTAATTAACTATAGCCCTCTAGCCCTATCTTTAGCCTCCAAAACTGACTGGATTAGGTCGCAGATCGCGGGAAGCGATAGGCTACTCTAAAAAGGTGGTATAACGCGCGACTACTAACTTAAAGGGCTGATATAGATATACGAGATCGCGAGGGTTTTTAGACCTTATCTCGTTATAGCACTACTAAGCACCCTGTCGAATTAGATTAATAACGCGAGGGGATTATTATTTAGGTAGTTCGTTTATGATTTCGATATAGTATAGACTCGGAGGAACGATTAGCACTATAGTTAATTAGAAGGAATCGGAAAGTATTAGTATTTATTCTTATATACGATTTACTACTAAAAAGAGAAAAATAGTACGAGTTAGTTTATGGCCTTTAAAGTGCCTAGCTGATAATACTCATAAAAGGATTTTAACGTTGTTTTCGAGCTTTTTGCGTTTTTCCGCGTTTTTCGAGCTTTTCGGCCGTTTAAGCCGTTTAAGTTATTTTTTGGAGCTTTGCCTACGGGGGAGTATTACGGTGGTAGTCCGTGCACACGGCCAACTAATCAGGTTGCCGTATCCGAGTAGCCAAACCTCCAGCTTTAGCCGAGGAACCTATAGTAGATAGCTTCCTTTTATACACACACTCAATACACGTTTAGTGTCACTCTCTACACCTTGTACGGTAATTATTACCCACATGAAAATCAGAGGAGATATCACGTGCCATGCCGCCACACCGCTCTGTGGCGCAGGGCGTCTGACACGAGACCATGCGCTACCTTACACTAGATGGAATTGGACTAGCGTTGAAAACCCCACCTCCCACTTTCCATTTTTGCGCGAGAGGTTCAATGACTGCTTTCTCACCCCGCCTTAATATCTTCTCCAGTGCAAAGAACCGCAACAGATTCACCCTTCTCTTGCCCATCCCCATTTTCACCTGATTCTTCGCACAGGCGAAAACCATACAAGATGATTATTTACAAGGTATGCATTGTTCCGTATGGACTCAAAAATCAGGTTGCCGAATGTCTAGCATGGACGTATGCTGAACCCCGCATCTCCGCACAGGATGTCATTACCGGAGACGAGATGATCTCGGACTCCTACGACCTTAAGAATGTCGATGGCATCGTCTTTGAGGCCGATTGCGCCATGATTGAGGAGGGTGGTTTCAATGTCGGTTCGTACCCCCCGTTGTTTTCCACCCTGCTCGACCAACGTTTTCAGACCTGTTGCGGGCCTGAGATTGCACTGCGACCTGGTCACTGACTGCCTATCGTTATGTCCACAGATATCGGTGCGAATGCCTCTGCCGAAGAGGCTGAAGACGCCCTCGACGACACAGTCACCAAGGTCAACAACATCGTCAACTCCTTCCGTCTGCAGAGCACCCAGTTTGACAAGAAGAGCTACCTTACATATCTTAAGGGTTAGTGTTGCGAAACATTTACAGCCGTCACCGTGCTGGATCCTGACAAAACCCCGCAGGCTACCTGAAGTCCGTCAAGGCTCACCTTCAGGAGAAGGGCGCGTCAGAGGAGGAAATCAAGAAGTTCGAAGTCGGCGCGCAGAAGTACACCAAGGAGGTTATCCTCCCCAACTTCAAGGATTTCGAGTTCTACACGGGCGAGTCGATGAACCCCGACGGAATGTAAAGATGCCCAGCCCTCATCGCGTTTCCAACTCCACGCCGGTTGCTAACGAAATTCCCAGGATCGTTCTGTTGAACTACCGGGAGGACGGTATCACCCCATATGTCATCGTCTGGCAGCATGGGCTTAAGGAAATGAAGGTGTAAAACACGCGCTGGAGAAGCAAAGCTATGCTCACGGTCCGGCTATCTGTGGGCATCTCTGGACTAACTACGAGCGTCGTCACGTGGGCTACCCATGGTACCGGTTGTCGGTCCACATAAGCTCGTATCTTAGTATGGCCAGAATAGAGAAATGAGGAAAATGGATAAAGAACGCATGAATACAATAGTTCCCGCTCTGAAAGAGTTGCAGCCTTTAGGTTGTTTTCCTCTCAGTGATGCCAGGCCAAGACAGGTCAAGTAGTAGTTGAAAACCCAGCAAGGGTTAGCAGAGATTCCCAGACAGTGGGGTTAACATGGCATTCCCGGTGACAGCAGCTATAAGCTATCGAGGCCTAGTGGCCAGGGGAACCGGGGGTGGCTGATCATTGTCGTTATCGTCAGCACTGGACGGATCTCCCGATCGCCTAGGAACCAACCCCACCATATGCGTCCGCTTGGGAGGTGGGGGCGGCGGCTTCTTCTTTCCAAAGATCCCCATCCGATCCGGCGGCCCTGGGCCTGCAGTAGTAGGGCTAGCGGCCAAGACTGGAGCGTGCTTGGATTGCCGGACTGCTTGCTGCTGCATGTGTCTATTTTCAGACTCGCTGGCAGATGATGGGGAAGCCTCTGTACATCCTGTTATTCCGGATCTCTTGCTGAGTTCGTTTGCATTCCTGACACCAGTCGCCATCTTGTCTCCATGCCGTAGTCTAAGGTTGTTGGCTGTGGATGCTGCAGACAGCGCATCCGACATGCGCACGGAGGATGGGTCTTTATGCAAATGCGAAGCCGTTCGGATGGCGGCCTGCTTTTGTTCCAACGTTGTGCCTTCAGCTGGTGGCGCATTTGCACGTCCGCTGTAGGAACTTGTCGACGGAAAATTCCTCGCAGCGGAACTGCCCAACTTCGAAAAGCGGCTCTGGAGTTCATTTTCGCGCGAAGTCGGAGGGCTCGCGGGGACAGAGCTCGAAAGACGACCGATCGCAGTTTGTGTTTCTGTAGTGGGCGTCGAAGTCCCGATGCCTAGACCAGGTACCGAAATACCCGCTGCCCCGAGTCTATTCGCTGCCTGTTGGTTCAAAGAGCTGCCGCTGGTTATCTTGTTTGAGTTCTCGGTGGAGGTCGGATTTTGGGGGAGGGAGGGTGAACCCGATGGAGTGCGTGGCGGCAATCGTGGGGGGAGTCGTGGCGGAAGATGCGAAGGCAGACTTGGACGAGGGGACGTGGAAGGAGCCGGAGGGGCCCTTCCATCAGCCCCGTCCTTCCTTCCTGGTGGAGGAGGCAGGTGCGCAGCCGATAGGCCGGTGGTATCGGCCCGGAAGGGCGGTGGAGGAGTAGATGCCTGAGCAGTTTCAGCACCCCGGTGCTCCAGGACGACGGCATGGTGAAGTGAGGCGTTCTGTGATGGTGACGGTATACTAGAAGCTGTGTTGTATCTCGAGGGCGGCGTCGGAGTACCTGCCGGAGACGATGCCGTAGTGCCGCGTGAAATGCTAGACACTGGAAGTGGTTGGTCTGTGAGACGTCGAGGTGGAGGAGCGAAAGAAGCGGGGTCTCTTAGGGAAGAAAGAGGTCTAGCGGCATGATTCGTTTTTTCTTGTTCCGTGTCCGACTTCCTTCCGACGAGGCCGGCCTGTAACATTGCAATCAGATCAGACAACTGTCCAGGCCAGTGCCTGAGGAATCAAGTGGGAGCGAACCATCTGGCCCTTGAGCGTTGTGCCAGGCTTCTCAGGGTGCCATCCCTTCTTCATAATTCTACCGAAGTCGGACATTGGTAAGCGGATAGCTCAGATACTCTGAATGTCGTGTAATTGAGCTAATAATATTGAAGGGAAGAGTGGTTAAAGGAAGCACCCATCGTGCTACTAAGTTGAGATTATTGTAGTTGTCATGTCGCACGTCAAAATAGCACTTATATAGTAAACCTGATGGAGCAGAAATCTCGTGTGTGTGTATTATATTAAGTTATATCTATATAAGTCTCGTATACCCTTAATTTAGGTGGTAAAGACTCTGTTATGGGTACTATATTATTTGGGTCCTATCCGGTCTTTCCCGGTATCCACTCTTATTATATCCTGATACCTAAGGTCCCCGAGGTCTAAGCCCTTAGTTAGGTATAGATCCCCTAAGGACTATATCGTGGTCTATATACCTATACGATATACCCCCTTAGTGAAGGTAGGTCCTACTAGTTTAACTAACTAATTAAAGGCTTTGGTTTAAACTAAAAGCTCTTACCTTTTCTATTATAAAAAAATAGTTAAGGGAAAACGCCCTTATAGAAAGAATCTAAATCCGCCCTATTTAACTGTCTAATTTAATTCTATTAGAGTCGGTTCCTTATTCCTGATTAGCTTAACCGGATCTATATTTATCGAATTAGCCGCCCCCTCAGGGGCCTTTATCGTTATCGCTACGGCTTTACCGCGCTCTATCTTTATATATAATTACTTCGACTACTTAATATAATCCTTTTAATCTGTTAAATTAAGCTATTATTATAGTCGTTTAATCCCCGCCTCCGGTAAGACCTTTATTAGTCCGTCTACGATTATATGCTTCGGGTTAACGTATATATTCTTGAAAAGGCCTTACTATACTAACTAGCGCGCCTACTAGTTATAAGTATTAATATAGCATAGCCTTATTCGTAGGTATTATGTATTTTTATTAATAAGGTTAATAGTTTACTAATTATCGTAATATTACTATAGTTATTATTAATCTAACTAAAGCTTTAAATCCCTTACTATCCGATTAACGAATAATATCTCCTTAGAGGTCTTTACAAGAGCGAGTAGTTCTGACTTTATTAATAATATCGTAACCGTTGGTTGCTTACCCGCCTTTTAGTTAATTATACCGCCGAAAAGCTTTATCGTGTATCCTTATAAACTCTTACAGTCTCGATTATCCCCGAAAGACGCGTTACTTACGGTTAAGAAGAGTCTATCACCACCGAATTCCAGGTACTGGTATCTTATATAGTATAAGAATAATAGCACTTATTAAGCCCGTTTAAGGTGGTTAGAGGAGGGGTTAATATTATATTTGAAAAGCTTCGAATAAGTAGATACGATATCGGGTCTTACTATAATAGCGGTATATAGGATTAAGCCGATTATACTCTAATACTAGCAGACTTCAAGGATTAACGCGCAGGCTCCGGTCCTTTCGCGTAGTATTAGTGACTCTATAGATAATAATAGGATCTTTAGTAGTTTACGGTAAAGGATATCTGCATAGTATTTAAACCCGATCTTCTCTATATAGGAGGCTTATAAAAACCATAATCTACGGGTACCTCTATCCCTTAGGGCCTTAATCCCTAGGAACTAATAAATCTTATTGCCTCTAAATAGCCCATAGCTCCTCTTAAGGGCAGCCTTAATATCGTCGGCGTTAGTCTTATAATCTCTATAGTAAATAAGTCCGATATCGTTAACGTAGAAGAATAGAATTAAACCGTCGTCTATTATAATATAGGGGTTATTAGAGACGGCTATAAATCCTATCTTTCGTAGTATACCGCTAAGTTCCTCTTACTATAATAATAGAGATACTCGTAAACTAAAAAGGGCTTTCTATAATAGCAGGACCTTACCTAGGACCTTAGAGCCTTATAGTATCTTTATATATACTTCCTCTTTAAGGCTCGCGTTAATAAACGCGTTAAAACTATCGTACTACCTTATCTCTGGATTAAATGGGGCGATAATAGCTATTAGTATACGGCAGGATCGCGAGGCTAATATAGTGGCGTAGTTATCTGTAGTTTTTAACCGTTTTCATTAATCCCCTTATATTATAAGACGTGCTTTATACTTCGATAGACCGCTTAGCCCTTACAGAGTTTACTTATAATATAGCGTGGTACTCTGCTATACGACGAATACCCGCGGACGTATTAATAGCTTATAATCCGAGAGGCCCTAATAAAGTATAATTACTTAGGGCGGGGGGAGGCTTATTTAGCTAAGGCTAAGACACGCGCGGAATAACTCGTAGTAAGCCGCCGCTCCCTTATAGACCTAATTAAAAAAGCCTAAAGAATATACGAATAATACTATAATAATAGGAGGACTTAGAGGTAATTTACGGTTAATAACTACGTCGTACTCTCCACGAAGAATATCCAATAGTATAGGCCTTGGAAGAAACTTAGCGATAAGTTTATCGGACCGTATAAAATTACTAAGGTTATAGACACGTATAGACTAGTATATTAACTCGCCCTCCCCGAGACTACAAGGATCTATAACCTCTTCCCTATCTCCTTACTAGAATTATAAAGGACCCGTAATAAAAAGCTGCCCGAGTTATAGGATATTAATATAGAACCAGACTTTAACGAATATAAGCTCGAAGTAATCTTGAACTATCGCTACTAAGGGAGACGGCGCTAATACCTTATTAAATAGGCCGGCTACGATAATAAGGAGAATATATAGGAGCCTAAATATAACGTAATGGATAAGCTTATTAACACTTACTTTAAGTAGAAGCTCGATATAGCGGGAGCACTATAAGACTATAACGTGACTAAAGCACTATAAAACATCGTACCACGATTAACTAGTTAAGTCTCCTCTCTTTATTCTTCTGTATTCTACTCCCCTTAAATAGTTAAGCGTTTCTTTTCTTTTATCCCTTTTTTCCTCCTTTTTATCTCCTCCCCTTAAGCGGTTACACTATAATAAGTTATAAGTCATAACGGGACTATTAAGGGGGCATAATTAAAGTGGTGAGCGGGCGTACCCTATAAGTTATATTAAAAAGTAAAAAACTCCTAATCCTCCGTATATACCTTTAACCACCTATTAAGGTTATAGATCCTTAGTATAACCCCTACCTAATCCTCCGTATATACCTTTAACTGCTTACTACGAATATAGGTCCTTAGCGTAACCCCTACCTATTCCTCTATATATACTAGAGATAGCTATTATAGTTATAGATTATCGGCGTAACCCTCTAACTCCGAATCTAAGAGTATAGGTGCCCTAGGGCCCTACTTATTTTCCTTTATATATACCTCGCTCTGCCCTATAATAATAGCGCTTTTACTTATATAGGTATTCTCCCTTTCCACGTTTTACCCGTTAATAAATAGCGTATTATCTAAGAGAATCATAAGAGGCTTAGCCTTCTACTATTTCTTTTTCTTCTTCGGTAAGGGTATTAAAGGCGTTATCTTTTTCTTAGGCGTAGCCTTTTTCTTAGCCGGCGCTTTCTTTTTCGGCGTAGAAGTAAGCGTCCCGGGTTCGGACTTAGCGATATCGTACAGATCGGGCGGGCCTTAGAAAGTATTACCCTTGTCGGCGAATAGGTTAGAGGGCGTGAAGGCGGGTAAAGGGATATCTAGCTATAAAATAGAAGGAGGAAAAGAAAGGGAAGGTAGTGTATTAAGAGAGGGGACTACTAAAGGGTTAGACGCTATACTAGTAATAACCCTCTTAAAGGCGATAGCGAGGTATTTCTATACGGCTATTTATTAATCCTATTAATTGATATACTAGTAAAGCGATAACGCTATATCCTAACGGGACTTAAGGATTTTATCCGTCGTTTTCTAGCGGACGTTATTAATTTCTTCTTTCGCTTAATAAGCAGTATAAGACTTATCGACGGCGGTAAAGGTTATCTCTTTCTTAAGCTTATCTAGGGAGACCTTAAGGACGTTCTAGTACTTTATAGCTATAGTTTATAGTATAGTTAGTATATACCTATATTAGGTCCCTCCCCCTAAAAGGAACTTACGCGATGGCTAGCGTTTATACTATCCTTTATAGCTACGATAATAAGGACTTTCTATAACTAAATAGCCGCGTTATAGCCCATGGTAAGAAGATTATTATAATAACGATTATTATACCTAAAGTAAAAAGTATACTTAGCAGAGACTATACCGGAGTACCGGCACGACTTAAAGCGGATAGTCGTCAACGCGCTACTAATATTAATCTTAGCTAGTTAGCTAGTATAACGGGAGTAAGGGTCTTTAAGGGTTAAGCCCCTAGAAGCCCCTTCCTTAACGTCCACTACCTCTTAATAAGGGGCGGTCGATAACGACGACGCTATAGTCGTTATAGTTTTAGGCTTTTTAGAAGCGCTATTAGCCGCTAGCTCGGATACCGGCTATTTAGTATTACTATTATTATTATTATTAGTCTCCTTAGAAAGTATAATAGTGGTTAAGGAAGCTATATAGGACAGTTAGTAAAGCTATATAAGTTATTTTTCTCCCTTAGGACGAAGAAACGTTAGAAGGATACTTATAAGACAATAGGAAAAATTAGGAGAATCAGGGTATTATAACACGTTAATAACTATCACGCCCTGCTCTTTTAAGAGAAACACTATAAAGGTTAACTTACGGAACGCGGCGGATATCGATAAAACCGAAAATCAGAGGCCTAAAAAAGAGGGAAAACGGAAGAGAATAGAGTTATAGAGGCGTTAAGGAAAATATCCCCTAAAAAGGGGTATATAGGCATTATTCCTGCCTGTAAAGGAGGAAGGTATAAGGGTAAAAGGGGTATAAGAAGGAAGCAGATATATGTCTATTTTTAAATATATTATATAGCGGCGCCGGCGTTTTATATAGATTAAAGGGATATCGGCGCCGGTTCTTGATATAGATTAAAGGGATATCGGCGCCGGTTCTTGATATAGATTAAAGGGATATCGGCGCCGGTTGTTTATATAGATTAGAGGTATATCGGCGTAGCTTCTTGATATAGATTAAAGTGATATCGGCCTCGGTCCT